TTTTGGCAAACCTGCTTGATACAGTTTTCCTGTCTGTTTTGTTTGTTTATATGCCTCACGCTTCACATTTTATTTGCCACAGATGCCTCTTGGAGGTTTTCCGGGTTTGTTCACTTCTTTTAATTTAATATATGGCAATCATGTTTTTATCCCGCTGCAGATTGCCTAGAATAGTGCATGGCACTGATGGGTCAGTGAGGAAAGGAAAGGAAAGGAAAGGAAAGGAAAGGAAAGGAAAGGAAAGGAAAGGAAAGGAAAGGAAAGGAAAGCAGGCCTTCTCGGCAGTGTCCCCTCGCCTTTGGAACAGTCGCCCCTCCAAGATCTGCCTGGCTCCCTCGCTGGGGTTTTTTAAGAGCCAACTTAGAACCTGGCTCTTTAGGCAGGCCTTCCCTCCCGTCCCCACTTGATTTTTGTTTTCGATCTTGAATGATACCGTTATCGCTGTTTTAAATTGTCATTTTAACTTACTATATTGCTTTGACTATTTTTATTGTAAGCCGCCCAGAGTAGATGTGGTCTAAATGGGCGGGGTATAAATTTAATAAATAAATAAATAAAGGAAAGCAAGCAAGCAAGCAAGCAAGCAAGCAAGCAAGGAAGGAAGGAAGGAAGGAAGGAAGGAAGGAAGTCCACCTGGGCCTTGTGACCGCATCCTCTTTCGGTGCAGAGTCCGAGCGATGTGTCTCCAGGCTGGCAACCTCTTGCTCCCTGACATCCTTGGTGTCTAGTTCCTTGGTGGGGGCGCCCACCAGGCTGCGGGAGGGGGACACCGATTCCAAATCCTTCCCAGAAAGAGGACTTGCCAGCCCTTCTTTCCGCACCACGGGGCTTGAAGACAAACAGAAAGCTACGTTGGACGGGATCCGCCTGCTGGGAGACTAAGGGGAGGCTCAGCTCTCCTCTAAGAAACTAGACAGAAGTGGCTTTAAGAGCTGCGGGCCAACAGGGATGGCCAAGGGAAAGACCTGTCCCTTTAAAAAGGGAGGCTTTGGCTGATCCTGCAGCAGCTTTCCATCCAGACCCCATATCCCACCCCATATCTGAGAGTGCACAACACTCTGCTTCCACCAGATCTTTTTACTGTTCCAAGGAAAACCAGCTCCTGGCTTTCTAGCTTCACCGATAACCTTGGGGACGGGTGGAAAAATCTCAGAGGAAGTGGAAGGGACTAGGCAAACATCTGTATAGCTTCAAGGGGCAGGGTGTCAGCCCTTCGCCTTCCAACTCCCGCAACTCAGAAAAAGAGGAACAAGGATGTCATGTCATGATCTGCACGGAGCATTCAAGCCCCAGAATTCTGCTCCCCTTCCTGCAAAGTCTGTACCGCTTCTCTGCCACGTTTGGCCTTGTGGCTGGAGCTGCTTCCTTTGGGCCTCTGAAACTTGGAAACAAGAGGAGACCCACCTGACGGGCTCTTTGCCCTTCTTGGCTTTTGCCCTCCTCCCGCCCGGCTTGGATGAGGAAGGTGCCGCTCCGATGCCAAAGCTCTGCCCATCCAGTTCCCCAACCAGGTGGCCCTCGGCATCCACCAGACCTGCCTGACAACGGGAAAAGCCCGTTTGATTTTGGGACCCAGAAGAGTTCTATAGCGAGGACAAAGTATGCCCCCCACCCCTTTGCCATGCAAACCTTGCATTTAAAGATTTCAGCTTTTGTGCTTTTCAGGAAAGACCAGGAAAACAGCCTGGGATCGCCAACCGACAAGCCCCAGCACCCATAAAGCCCCAGCTGCACCCTCACTGACCTTCTGGACGACAGACAGAGTTGCAAAGTCGTTTTTATCAATCAGGGTGTATTTGCTCCGCAGCCTGGCTTCCACTTCCTGCTCTTGTTGGCTAAAGAGAGGGACGTTTATTTGCTATTTATTTGTTTCATGTCTATCCCACCCCATTAGTGCGAGGCACCCTTCGGGGGGGGGGTTACAGAAAGCTGAAACCCATATTAATCAACACAAAGGCAAAGAGAGTCTCTCCAGGTAAAGCAGAAAGGGGTCCGGGGTTTCCTTATTATCCTCAACCCCACCAAAGTCTATTACGCCAATAGTCTAAAGGTCCACCGAAGGGAAAACACAAGACTTTAAAGGTTGCACGATGATCGTTTTGGTTGTCCGACAGTCTCTGCGAATCCAGCCGAGGACTCAACTATCCCGGGATGAGAACATGCAAATCAAAGATGACAAAAAAATGAATTTATTTCTTACCTTCCGCCAGAACGGTATGCCTTTAAGGCACCCTGACTTGCAGAGGGAATCATTTGGTGTCCCTCTTAAAAAGACATGGGCACCTCTACGCAAACAGGCCCTGCTCAGAGATGTCTCATTGCTCTCTGAGAGCACCTCACAATAGTTTGCAGCCTGTTAGGCTGAGTCCAATCATCATTGGTCCATTTAGCCCTGTAATTTGTGCTCCCAAGTGGGCCTCTGAGGTCTCAGCCTTCTGACCACAGACCCTGTGCCCTGGAGATGCCAGGGACGGGATCTTGAATGAGAGAGATCTCTCACTGCTCAAATTCAAGAAATCTAGAGACACAGCCGCCCCGTTTGTCTGAAGCAATGGGGCTTGGGCTCGCGAGAGCTTAGGAAAAATGAAAGCTAGTTCGCCTTATAGGTGCCACATTACTATCTCTGCTTCTCTTTTACTGGGATTCAAGGTGCTTAGTGAGATCTGAAACTCACAAAAGCATCAGAGGGCCTGAATGATCCACCCACTTCATTCATAAAGGAACTGCGCGAATCCCTCCGGCTTCTACCTGTCATCTCCCCAGATGGGCTTATTAAAAACGCCAAGGTGGAGCGGCTCAGAATGGCACCTCCCACGTAGAGGGTGTCACTATCTGATCTTTCACACACTTCATGGAAAGATGGGGGAGATCAACAGCACGGAGGCTGAAAGGTGAAAAAAAAGCCTTAAATGCTAGATTGAGGGAGGAGGTATTTTAATCCGCAGGGCTGTGAAGCAACCGCCGGGTGGAGTTTCTGAAGCTATTAATTCTAGGCAATTGGCACTTCTTCACACATTTGAAGGTCACGTGTGCGCTGGAGATGTTTTAAGTGAACTTTTTTAAAAAAAAGGTAAAGAATAACTGGGCTGATCCCTATCAAAGAGGCGCCCTTGCCTGGGGACTGGGAATCATTTGGATTTAGACTCAGGGATAAACCCCAACCCTTGTCCCCTGACAGAGCGTCAGGTTCTCTCGGAGGCTGAAAAAGTTGCTTCGTTGTGCTTTATCTCCCAGGATCTTCCAGCCACTAGGTGGCAAGGAAATCCTGGAAGCTGAACTCTTAAAAAGTCCATTTCCCAAACAACAGGTTCTTTTTCCAGTCTGACCTCTTTCATTTTGAGATTGTGCCTCTCCATGTCTGGGGGGTGGGGTGGGAAGAGGAATCAAGAAGCCTTAAGAAGAACAGGTGAATTCCAAGATATTTCCAAGCAAACCAAGCACCTCCTTCCGAGACGTTCAGAGATGTTCTAATGTGTCTGTTGTTCCCTGCCTAGAGCATCCCTGATGTCTGAAGTGTGAAACTTTAGCACAATTCTAGCAATGTGTCTTTCCTCACCCTCTTCCAGGGCCCGCCTGGTTACACAAGAAAGGCCATGTCCCTTCTATAGACAGTGGGTCTGCATTTAGGAAGAGCTTCTCCTTTAAACACTGTTCTCTACCTATTATTCCTTTTGTCTGAATATGTACTCTGGAGTGTCTGTTACCAGCATGGCTCTTTGTATGACGGGAGGGAAAGAAGGGAATAAATCTGAAGGAAGAGGGGCAGAAGCCAAGCGAGGGAATCATATGATCACCATGAAATAGGTTCTGAGTTCGGTTCAACCTGCAGCAATTCCCCTCTTGAAAGGGTCCAGGACTACCAAGTATTGTGAAAGAACTCAAAATAGCCTCTAAGCCAGACCAATAATGGTTTTCCCAGGAAAAGGTCAGTTCCCTGTACTTGCATGACTTCAACATGCAGCCCTTGTCTGCAGAAGAGCAGAGGGGGGCTCCAAGTAAGGCCTCAGCACCCCACGCCCAGCGGGACTCTCAAGGACTTACCTCAAAATCATTTTGAACTGGTTAAACACTTCGTGGATTTGCCTGACGCTCATGATCTGGAGAGGAGAAGTGGAAGCAAAGAGGATTGCCCTGGAGTCGGGGGTGGGGGGACCACAGAGCTGGGGCTCCTGACCAGCCTTTAAAAGGGGGACACCCCCACGGGGCAACGAATTGGCCAAAAGACACGGCATTTATACAGGACTAGAAAGGTGAACACCTCTCCATTTTCACCTTCTTCCCATCTGTGGGACAAAATCTGGTTGTGAGACTAAGTTGTGGGTTGTTGTTGCTGCTGTTTTTTCCCCTGCATGGAAGTCCACACTCTTTTCCTAACCTATGCATTTTTAACCGATGCTTTTTGATTTCCAGATCTGGGCATGCCTTTTCGCACTGACTAAAGCCCGTTTCTCTGAACAATCTGCAGAGATCTGTGCACGATCTCCCGTGGGTCTTGGCACATCATTCAAAAAGGAAAAAGAAAGGAAAAGCATAGACGATGCATTCGATCCAATTTGACTCAGATTTTGATAGATACGAACCGCGTTCCCATTCTCTACACTGTTGGCTTTATACTAGGGATCAGCAGCAAAGGAGAGGGTCCTTTTCCAGCTGCTTCTGCTATCCCTCCCTCCCTGCTCTCTCCAACCCCAGTCCCAGTTCCTCCTGCCCATCCTCATGGGCCCCACTGCCCATGCCCCGGGGCTGACTGTCCTCATGGGCCCAGCTCTGCCCTCACCTGCTCTGCTTTCTAGCACACAGGAAAAAGAACCCACCCTCATCATCGCTATCCAAGCCACCCCACGGTCCGCCACCCCCAACCCTGCTGGCCTGCTGGAGTGCAGCTGCTTACGTCTAGCTCATCTATGGCTCCTTCGAGGTACCGGCGGACTTGAGAGTTGATCTCCGCTATCTGGATTTCGTTCAGGGGCTCGTAAGATACTAGAGGGCGATTGAGCTGGACCCAGAAGAGAAAAAAAACAAGGAACATGAGCCACATGTACTATCCCTCCCACACTTGTTCCCCAGAATGTTAGAAACCAACTTAAGCCTTACTTCTGTGGCTTTCCACCCTAGAACTATGAAGATAAGAACTGTCTTCCCCATCCAGGCAGGAAGGAGGCGGCCAAGACATGAGAGCAGAAAGGGAGGGGGTAGAGGAGCCCTTCCAACCCATCCCTCCTCCACAATTAATTTATGCAAGCAGCATTTTACCTCTTGAGCTGTGTGACCTGGGGGGGTGAATAATGGCTTGAACGGCAAGTTGGGGGCCAAGAGAGAGAACCCGGTTTCCCCTCCCACTCTCCCTTTCTCAACAAGTTCACAAAGCAGCATCAGACCCCCGAGCAGAACTGCACCACCACGATGCATTAACCGGGCCTTCCCGTGCTGCGCCGTACCAAACAGTTGTGCATGGCCAACTCGTTCTTCAAGTAGAGGACTTCTTTCTCCAGATTTTTCACCATCCGCTAAGCAAGCATGAAGCACAGCGTAGGAGGACATGGAGAGAGAGAGAGAAAGAAGGCAAGGTTGCATGCAGATTCCTGCCATGGGATCCGTATCCACACACACACCTGGCCACGCATGTGCACGTGCGCGCACACACACACATGCGCACGCACACACACACTCCTGCTCTGCTGTGTCCCAGCCATCCTGAAAGTAACCTTATTGCTAAAGTGCCTGTCCAACTGCTGTCACAACTCCAGCTGTCAAATGACCAGGGAACAATCCAGATGATTGGCTCGGAGCTCTCCTTGTGACCTGGCAAGGTCTGTTGGCACCTGTCTGCAGCCCTCCGAAACCACCCGAGGCTGAAAGAGCAGCCCCAGGCATTCCTCTGCTCTGGGGCCTACCGGGACAAACCAGAGCGGTCCCGTTTCTCAGCCCTTTCAAGAACTCTTCTTTTGCCATCCTCCATTCGGAATTTGAAACACACTTGGAAGATGTCTTCGATTTGCCATGCCTTTTAGTCCCTTTAGCTGTCCGGGCACATCAGTAGAGCTGGGCTCCTGGCTTTGGAGACAAGAGGTTGGGAGTCCGATTCCCCCCACTGAGCCTCCTGGGAGAAGAGCCAGCCCGGGTGGCCTTGGGTGAGCTGCTCCCAGTCCCAGAAATGCCCCCAGAAGAAAGGAAGGGTCAACCCCTTCTGAGGACTCTCTACCTGGACAAGCTTGAAAAGGGTCACCATGAATCAGAATGGACTGGATGGCCCAGGATGATGATGATGGCCTTTAATCTTTCTAGGAGCTTTCTTTTCCAAATTTCCCCCCCATGTGCTCTGTTTTCCTGCTGGGTCTCTGGATTATCTACCCTACAGTTTTAACTCTCCTATTGTTTCTGCACTTTTCACAGCCCATGAAGGGGCCTTCCCAGAATGACAGCTGCTCAGTAATTTAAATTAATACGTTACCTGCACTGCAACAGAGAGCAGTGGTTCCTCTGTATCATTGAATCTAGAGGCACAACCAGAATTCAGTGCGGAATTCTGCCCAGCGGAGGCTCTCGAGGGCTAGGCAGACAACAGCTAAACAACACATCTGCCCTGCTATTTCCCCTCCCTCCCCCGCTTGATTGCTTGTAAGATCATTCTTGCCTTGCTCCACCTTCTTCTCTCTCTAGACAATCGCCTCGGTGATCATTTAAAGCCCCCCACGAACTTATGGTCCAGCCGACAGACCTTAAGGATGCCACCCCGTCTCAAAAGAGAGCACCAGCTGCCCTCCAACCCCTAAGTCGCCAACAGAACCCCAGACGGCTGACTCATTGCAATGGACACCCACCTCGCTGTCAATCTTTTCATTAACAATTGGCTGGGTCGTCACCCATTTCATTCTGGTCGCGAAACGAAGCGTGGACAGCTGGAGAAACACAAAGGGCACCAAGTTCACCGCGTGACAACTGGTTTGGAGCCCAAACGCTCTCCTGCGGCAGGTTCTTTGCCTAATCTACTGATAACAGAGATCACCGTGGCTTGCCTTTCTCGGAATGAGTCCAGGCAGGGCCTCGCGCCCAGTTGGGCGCCACAACGATGCGCCACAGAGAAAGGCTAAGAACAGTGCTTCAAGAGCGCCCTTAAAGAAGGGCTTATTCCAAAACAGGGTAGGGCTTAACCAACCTTCACTTTTTACAAAAGGTTCACTTGTGCAGCTGGAGGAGTCTCTCTCCCTGTCTTTTTTTTGCTCGATTTTTGACAACATGCTTTAAAAACCCTAGGACTTGGCAACTCCGCTCCTAGGCATTTTAGGGCCCAATCCTGACCCAAAGGCTCAGGGACGCTTACCGTCTCTATGATGTGGACGGCCTCACTGCAGATGTTGGCTACAAGGACCGTACGACAATTTCCACCTAGGAGAGAGAGGGGAAAGAAGCGAGAGCAGCTCTCGTGAGTCCCAAACTCTTTCTGCTCTTGATGCAGTTTTTCATGGATGCCGTGGCTTCCTAACCCCCTTTCCACCCTGAGGTCACACAAGTCCTTCCTCAGCACCACAGGGCATCCTGGAACAGTCTCGAGAGCAGAAGATCCACTGACTCGGCTTAGGTTGACTGCCAGGTCCCTTTGGGCTTCACCATGCCTCTCTCCTGAAAAAAGATGTGCTAGGCTGGAAATATACAGGTTTTGACTTTTTTTTCTTTTTTAATTTGCTAATCATTGTTTGCTGGGCTTGGAGGTCAAAGAACACCAAGAAAATGCCTATTGTTGTTGTTGTTTAGTTGTTCAGTCGTGTCCAGCTCTTTGTGACCCCACGGACCAGAGCACGCCAGGCCCTCCTGTCTTCCATGGCCTCCCGGAGTTGGGTCAAATTCATGCAAATTCCTATCAGGAAGTGTGTTGATTTTTGCCGCTGGGGCTACAAAAATTTCGGTGTAAGGCTTATGCCAGGTTGGCAGCTTAAGGGTTAAGCAAAATGGTTCCCTCCTCTCCAGATGCAGCGTGGTACCCTTGCTGGAAGCTGCTCTTCTTGTTTCCTGTGGAAAGTCATTTGTTGTTGTTGTTTAGTTGTCTAGTCGTGTCCGATTCTTTGTGGTTTTTCTTCCAGTGGTTTTCAATTTCGCACAACATGTTTGTGGCTTATTGTCTTCCACGGCCTCCCGGAGTTGGGTCAAATTCATGTTGGTCGCTTCGATGACCCTGTCCAGCCATCTTATCCTCTGTCGTCCCCCCTTCTCCTCTCGCCTTCACACTTTCCCAACATCAGTGTCTTTTCCAGGGAGTCTTCTCTTCTCATGAGATGGCCAAAATATTGGAGCCTCAGCTTCCGAATCTGTCCTTCCAGGGAGCACTCAGGGTTGATTTCCTTCAGAACGGAGAGGTTTGTTCTCCTTGCAGTCCAGGGGACTCTCAAGAGCCTCCTCCAGCACCACAATTCAAAAGCATCAGTTCTTCGGCAGTCAGCCCTCTTTAGGGTCTTTATAAAGAACACCAAGAAAACGCCTATGATGCAAGCTAAATAAATGGCTGCCCTTTTGCTTAATTTTTTTTTATCATCTGGGGCCTCCCTGCCTGGGTAACCCCCATGTGGGCCTTGGTGGCAGGGCCTCTGGTTTGATGGCTGCAAGGCCGTGTAATCGTAGGCTGAGTAAATTCAGCAGGTTTTTTTAACTGGGCTGTTTTAAAATACGGTCACTTTGGTTCAAACTCTTAGCCCAGGGCCATCCTGATGAAACACTGCATCCGTTTCCAGCCCCTTCCCCACGCCCAGTTGAGATCCTGGTTGTGCAACAGGATGTATGGCCAGTTGCATGGCTTGTCTGCATGGGGGAAAGTCCGAGGGTGGGTGGTGCGTGGGGGAGACCCCTTGCACCGCTGCCCTCGACTGCAGAGAAGCTTGGCTTTAGCTTTCTTGGAGTGACGCAGAAGGAAGGAAGGAACCCTTTGCTCTTTTGTGACCATTCTCCAACGCTTCCAGTGGTTTTCAATTTCGCACAACATGTTTGTGGCTTATTGGCTGCCGGGCTGCTAATTAAGAGAAGGATGAGATACAAATGAACAGAGGGAGGGTGCAAGCGGATGAAGCTATGCTGTGCTCAGCCTGACCGGGAAGCTTCAAGACAGGCCTGTGAACAAAGGCTAGTTTGTGGCCCAGCAGGGAGCTCAGCCTGGGTGCCCTCATGTCCGGCACCCCTTCCTACCCCGTAATCCCCTTCTGTCCCTGTTCCAAGCCCATACCTAATGAATCCTTCAAGGTGTAGGCGAGCTTGCTCTGGCGGAAGGGGATGTGCTCCCGGTTACGATCAGACAAGGCAACGACCACTTGTTCAAAGAACGACAAGGACTTGTTGATGTAGGTGGCTTCTTTCAACCCGTGGCCTTCGGACTGTTACAAAGAGGAACCAGGAGGACGCCTTTGAGTGCAATGAACCTGTACATATGCTTATTCGCTCAAAGTATTTTTTAAACCCTTCCTGTCTATACAAAAGGCCCACACAAGGAACAATCGGATCTTTGCAAAAGTAGCAATGATTGATTCTAAGTGGCATTCAAATAAAATTAACGATGAAACCAAATTAAAAATTAATAATAATCATATTAATAAACTTAGAATTGCAGATCATCAAGTCCAGCCTGTGAGGGAGACACAGATGCTGGGAATCGAACTCCCAACCTCTGGTTCCATAGCTAGATGCCTAAACCATTTAGCTTTCCAGTAGTTCATTAAAGATCATCATTATCATCATCTTAGAACTACAGAGCTGGAAGGGACCCTCTGGGATCATTAAGTCCAGCCCCTGTCAGGGAGGCACAGACGGGGGGAATCGAACTCCCAACTTCTGGCTCCACAGCTAGATACCTAAACCACTGAGCTATCCAGCAGTTCTTACAGGCAAATAGCAGTAACTACACAACAAATATTACTAGAACTGGTGTGTGTGTGTGAATACAGCTCAGTGGCACAATTCAACAGCAATGTTCCAGCTGCTCAACCTTTTACGATTAGGTGAAACTCAACAATGCCAAAAGGTGCCATCCTGGTTTTTGCCTTGACAGAAACACCGGGGAAACACACCAAAAACGGACAGAACCCAAAGTGCTGGCAGACGGGTGACCGATGCAAGGAAGGAGCGCTCTGAAGCAGGACCACATTCCTGAGCATCTGTTTTGGCCCTCGTGCAGAAAGGCATGTCTGGTGAATGGAGAAGCGCTGAGGCCCCATTCCCTTGCTTTCTCATAAGAAGGTGGAGGTTCCATGGCTGTCAAGAGGGCTGGAATCCTGTTAGTGTTCCAGAGCCATGACTCAGGAAGATTTTAACATCTGATCATTAGACTTAGAAAGGAAGAATACATGCAGGGCCCCGAAGACCCAACAACAACGAAAAACAAAGCAAGCAAAACAAAGCGGACTGATTTGCCAACCACAGGAGTCGAGGCAAGCAAGGGCTTGCTGTGACAATCACACACAATTAGCACTGACAATACTCCCGCTTCCAGTGGCAGGTTATCCCTAAGGACCACTGAGCCCCTAAAACGAGGCAAGCCAACGCAACACACCCATGACTTACTTTGCTCTTTGCCAGCCTCTCTGAGCCTGCGAGATCCACCAGGTTAATTTTGGAGGTGACGTACCTGGCATCTGAAAGGATTCTGGAGTGACACTGGAGTGAGAGATCACAAGCATCAGTGCGGACGGAAGACCACGGGGATCTTCCACCGGAGGAAGGGAGCACAAGAACCCCACAAAAACGGCACGGCTGCTGACCTCGATGTAAATGGTGAAGATGCAGTGGGACCGGGAAGAGTGCCTGTTTAGTTCGTGTTGGCCAACAGATCTGTTGGTGTCACCCTGAAAAGGAGGTGAAAAGAAGGAGAGATGCAGCCAGAGCAGAAGGAAGAGGGTGCATTTCTTCTATTTATATCCTGCATGGGATGGGAGAAGGCCTTCCCTTGCAATACAATATATTGCCAATAGTGATGAATGCAATTTTCTAATTACAGAAAATATAAAGACATTCCCAGAGTCATCTGGGCTATGATCAAGTATGATTGACTGATTGATTGACTGATTGATTGATTGAAAATATTTGACCATGTTTTTCTCCTTAAAAGACCCAAGGCAGCTTATGTAATTAAAAAGACAATATTAAAAGCTAAAAACCCTAAGCATACAAATATTAAAAGAGAATTAAACAGGTTTATCAAATTAAACAACAGTAAATAAAATCAATGCCAAATGCTGGACATTTAAAAGCAGCAGCGCCTATCAACCCAATTTGAGGGGGAAAAAAAACCTTCTCAGATGGCCAGTCACTTAAAGAGAGCTTGCATGAAGAGAGAGGTCTATTGGCCTGCTTGCAGAAGGACAGCAAAGATGGGGCGAGGCTGGCCTCCAGTGGGAGGGAGTTCCAGAGTCTCTGGGAGCAGCCGCAGAGAAGGCCCTCCTCTCCTGTGTCCCTCACCAAATGCACCTGTGAAGGTGGTGGGGCCAAGAAAAACATTTGTGCATACAGACTCTCCTATATACAGGCACCAACACATTTCTGCTGTGTGTATAACTACTCTGAGCAGCACGTTTGCATTGGATACAAAGGCTGTATTTTAATTTACACAAATCTGGTTTTTGATTGGTTTAAAAGCCAGGGTTTTCCTCTAAGGGAACTCTGGGAAGTATCATTCCAAAGTGGGAGAAAATGGGCAGATGAGAATACCTAGGGGATTTTCATCAGCCCCAGAATACTTCCATCAGAGCTTGGAAATCCTGTATTTTTAAGACTACAAAACCCAGATCCCCCCCAGCCAGTCACAATAGAGCTCCGTGAGGGAAAACATCATAGTTAAAATGTTAACAAGTGCCCTATGAGCACGACCCAAATTTCTCCTGGAGCAGAACCAGATGCAACTGACCAGAGGGGAGGGGGGGGGGAAACTGGTACAGTATATTAAAAACACCTGTCAACTTATAGAAACTCTTCCCTTTCCATCACTGCAGAGAAGGCGGCTGATATCTCGCTGGCTCTCCTTACCTCAAACAAGAGATTCAAAGCAACTTCTTCGTGGGGAGCCGGATGCAAAGTCAGGCCTTTAACAGAGACGCCCTGGGGTCCCTCAACCACAGACAGTGGGGCTTCGTTGGCTGTGCCAGGAGGGGCCAGGGATAAAAGATCATAGATGGTCTCGTTGTAGATTTCCAAGTACGAAATCCGAACGGTGATGAACTGGCTGCCGTGTGCTTCCATCGACTGGAATACCTGCAGAAAACAGCCACCCAAAACAAGAGAAACCTGGTGCTTTCTCTTGTCTTGAGAAAGAGTAAAACTTTTCTAAGTTTTAGAACTTTAATAAGACTAAAACTTTTCTAAGCTAACTAAATACAAGCTTTCCCAAATGGCTCATTTTTGCTCAGGTACTTTATCAGTCTAACAATATGAATACTGACCAGGTTTCCATCGACACAAAAATTTGTTCATTATAGAGCAAACAGATCCATAAGGAAGCCCAAAAGGTATTTCAAGGAAGCGCTCAGTTCAGAGGGCTCTGCAGAAAATGGCTGGATGTGCCTTCATAAGATCAGCTTCAAGGTCACAGAACAACTTATGTATTGCTTCCCCCCGCCCTGCCCCCCCACCTGGCTTGGGAATCAGGGTATCATACAGCAGAGAATTCTCATCCATGCAAAAGGAACAGGGGTGACCCAGGAGACTTCACTCTCTCTCCATCCAGTAGAGATCCTTTAGCCCAGTCTTCCCAAACCTGGTGTGACCTCCAGATATGTTAAGCTACAATATATATGGGGAATATCTGGCTCAGCAATACTACGAGCGAGAAGGATCTTAGAATAGTCGCCGGTCACCAGTTGAACATGAGCCAACCGTGTGATGGGGCTACCAAAAAAAAAGGTGAATGCTGTTTTAGGCTGCATTAACAGTAGTCTCCAAATCCCGCGAGGTGCTAGTTCCCCTCTATTCAGCACTGGTTAGGCATCATCTTTATTGTGTCCAATCTTGGACACTGCACTTCAAGAAGGATGCTGACAAACTGGAACAAGTTTAGAGGAGGAGAAAAAGGATGATCAGATGACTAGAAACCAAGCCCTAGAAGGAAAGACTGAAAGAATTGGGCCTGTTTAGCTTTGAGAAAAGAAGACTGAGGGGAGACAGGATAGCCCTTTTAAAATCCTTCAAAGGCTGTCATCCAGAGGAGGGGCAGGATCTGTTCTTGATCATCCCGGAGTGCAGGACACGCAACAATGGGCTCAAGGGACAGGAAGCCAGATTTCAACTGGATATCAGGAAGATTTTCCTAGCTATTAGAGCAGTAAGACAACGGGACCCATGACCTCAGGGGGAGGTGGTGAGGGCTCCAACGCTGGAGGCATTCAAGAGAAATTCAGACAACCATCTGGCAGACAGCCGTTTTGATTTGTATTCCTGCCTGGAGCAGGACTTGATGGCCTTAGAGGCCCCTTCCAATGCCACGATTCTATTATTCTACCTCCCACCACACTCACTTCCTGGATTGACTGGGAGCCCTAGCTTGACACTTCTGAAAGGCACCAGACCGGGAAAGCCGAACGACTCAAAAACGCTAAGAGACAAAGCAACGCAATCCCATCTGCACAGAGGAAGGAACAAAAAGTTTCATACAGGGTGTGCGTTTCCCCCAGGCAGCTCTTTCATTTTTTCCTTCTCCAGAAGTCAGGGAATGCCCTTGTGGTTCTTTCTCCTGCAACCTGCTTCGGCTGCAGGCAAAAGCCTTATACATCTCCGGGATTGCCCCTCCTCAGAGGGGCTTCATCCCTTCCAGCTTTCTCATCAGCACCAACAGCTTTTCATGATGATCCAAACTACCTGTTGTATAGCTCGGGGGATGATCCCCCGATGGCTGTAGTTTCCTGTGGTTCCTGTCATGGTGAAGGTTTTGCCAGCTCCAGTTTGCCCGTAGCAGATGATAGTACCTGGAAAACACCATAAATTCAAGCTGTCTCTGCTAGGATCACGAGCAAACATGCATCACTGGTCTTCCTTTAGCCAAAGCACTTTTTTCATAGTAATACGCAGAGAAGTGCTGCATACATAACGTGTCCCCCCCACGCTTCCACGGGATGAATATCTCCATTCCCATTAAATCGGTAAATGTGACGAATGCAAATAAAGGAAAACAGTACATTTTGAAACTTGTTTATTGTTGCAATGTGGTGGTTAGAAAGATGTGCCAAGGAATCACCAGACAGAAGGTGCCCGTTTGTCCGAAATGCTATTTCTACCACTCTGAAAACTGGCAGCTTCCAAACGGAGGTCATTTGCAACCATACAAATAAAGCTACAGCTATTACAACATTGAGAACATCTCAGAAATATATCCCAGCAGCAAACGAAGCAGGGGATGGCTCACAAAACATGAAAAATGTGTTATGTTTCCTGTCTGTGAGTAAGTGGCACCGCTGAGAATCTCAATTTGCCTCCACCAGTCTTGCTGTGGAAGCATCTATTCCACATTTGGTCAGGTATGTATGCTCTTAGCCCTCTGATCACATTTAAGGAAACCCTCCTTTTTCCATTTGCCACAGAGGCTGCCATGCACAATGCAGATCAGCCACGTACGGGTAAAGTCACAAACCCATTTCTCTTCCTCCTCCAGACTCTTTTTAAAAATCATTTCTAAAGAAAACTCCTCTTACAGAGATAGAAGAAGCAAAAGAGCTGGTACATAACTAAACACTCACTGAAACAACTTTAGCTTAATTACCTTAACAATGGGAGATTTAACTCACTGGAAGCATGGGTACGGCTGTACCAGAATTTTATTTGCCAGCTACCATACTTGCCACCTGAGTTAGGGAGGGGAGTAGAAGAAGGGCTCAAGCTGCAGGAGGGGGGAAGTGTTGAGATTTTGATCTCAAAATGTATTAAATATAAATGTTTATATTTATACAATAAATGTAAAATGGCTGATTTTACTTGAGTCATGCACTGAGTGTATTCAGGTGTGGGTACCAAGGTTTAAGGACTTGATGTTGTACAGCTGTAAGGTGTAACTTTATGTAAATAGAAAATGAAGTAATGTGTTTTCTGATTGGTCCCAGGAATGTATATAGGTCATGTGTAAAGGGGACATTTTATTTGCTGTCAGATCACTTATTTCTATGCTATGTATTGTACCATGCTGTGTTATGCTGCCATATGAATGTCTATTCTCTCTGTATTTTAGACTAAGTTGTATTTTACTCTCTCAGTGTTACAGTGTCTTTGCAACCTGATATCTCCTAACTCTGCTTATGTCCTGAGAACACATATTTAACCAAAATTCTCAACAGAAAGGCCCACTTGACAGGTCCTGTTGATGCTTGAGAAAAGAAGACTGAGGGGTGGTACAGCAGCACTTTTCAAATCCTTGAAAGGCTGTCATACAGAAGAGGGGAAGACCTGTTCTCGATCATCCCAGAGTGCAGGACACGCAACAGTGGGCTCAAGTTACAGGAAGCCAGATTTGGGTTGAATATCAGGAAAAACTTCCTAAGTGTTAGAGCAGTACAACAATGGAAACTGTTACCTCAAGGGGAAGCGTTGAGTGCTCCAACACTGGAGGCCTTCAAGAAAAAAAAACTTAGATCATCACCTGGCAGATATGCTTTGATGGTATTCCTGCCTTGAGCAGGGGCTTGGACCCAATGGTCTTGTAGGACCCTTCCAACTTTACTTTTCTATGAAAGTTTGAAACATGTGAAGATGGCTGCCACCTGGCTCACCTTAAATGACTCTTCATGGAGCCAATCATGCATAACTTCTTCCACCTTTCCTTTTAGGTCTTAGCGCCCAACACTCTCACTGCGTGTTTGATTACCTCTTTTGGACAAGTTCCTGTCTGTCAATGACCTTCTTAAATTGGGGTGCCCATTACAAGACACAATACTCCCTGTGAGATCTTACAAAAGAGCACAGGAAGAGCACAGCGCCATACCTTCGTGCTTATGAGCCTAGAACGGTATTAGCTGCTTTAGCTGCTGATTCACATTGCCAACTCACAGTCCACAGAAGCTATCAAATCCTTTCCATATATGTACAGCTGTCAAAGTGGTGTTCCCTCCCCCATCCTATAACTCTGCATTTCTCTCTTTGGTTTTTTATAACTTTACTCCTATCTCTGTTGAATTTTATTCTGCTAGTTATAGCTCATGTCTTCATTTTGTCACCAATCTGAACCCCAGTTCTTTCTTCCACCCAAACACATGTCATTTGCAAGATTAGTACACTTCTTTTCCATCTGTTTGCCAAAATCATTGATCATGCTGTTGAATTACACGGAGCCCCTGAAAGAACAAAACCTTTGTCATCCTTTGATGCATCCCCCCCAGGATGACACAGAACAAGTGATGACCACTTTTGGGTACAGCCTATCAGCCAACTATAAATCTGTCTAACCGTTGTTCCCTCAAGCTTTTACTATGCATTGGAATAAACCCCTTGTGGCTTCCTCATCTCGCTATCTATACAGCCAGTGCCAATGCTAGAAGCAAGACAGGTAGAACAGATAAAAGCAGAGTATAAGGAGTCAATGAACGCCCCGGAAAAAAGGGCTATGCCAGAGTAACTCAGAGGCAACACGGTGCTTCTCTTCCAGATGGAAATAGAGGGAAGCAAGAATAATGGTAAGAGCAATTTACCATTATATCCATTAAGAGCTTGGGAGACCAGGTCTCTGGCGACTGCCTCATAAACAGCATCCTGGGACTCATTATGAAGAACACCATCTAATTTGAACGACCAGTCTGTCTGCTTATTGTTGACAACTCCTTTTGAGCGATCTCTCTCAATGTATATTTCTATGGTCTAGAAAAGAAATTAACTGAAAGCCAGTTACAACAAATCATAAGACACACAAACACATCAAGAAGGTGGTGGTGGTGGTGAATCCACTATACTAGGAAAAGCAAGCTACTACAGAGGCAACCTGAACTCTGTCATGCCTGTTTTCTCCTGTACATATTCACCTACTTTATTATCTGCCCCAACTCTGATCATGTCCTGAGGAAACTCAGCTGTCGGCTTGATTCGTGCAAAGGCATTCACTCTCTTTTGACTGGCGCACATTGTGAAGGATCCTGGGGAAGAGAGAAACAGAGGAACAAAAATAAGAGGAAACTGCGGCAAACAAAGGGAGCTTTTGAGGTCCAACAGAACTCCTCATCAAGGAGAGACAGATCAACTTGGCTTCCTTCCTGTGGTTCTGCCCTGTCAGGTCGGAACCTGACTTACAGCGACCCTATAAGTGAGATATTTAAGGAGTGGTTTCACTAATTCCACTCCTCCCCCCCCCAATGAGTTTCTGTGGCTGAGCACGGATTCGCACCTTGTTCTCCAAACCCATGTTCCTATCCAGTACACCACACCGGGGAACATGGGTTTGCAGAACGCCTTAGATTTAAATCCCAGTAGATATCCAATTGAAAAGCTTAGGGGTTGAGGTCTCCAGGCTGTGGACCCAGAGGGCAGGGGTTCGAATCCCCGCTTTGCCTCCAGGGAGAACAGCCAGCCAGCCAGCCTGGGTGGCCTTGGGGCCAGGGGCACAACCGTCCCGAAAGTAGCAGGAGAAGAAGGGAAGGGGGAAAACCACGGCGGGAAACCCTCCTTCCTCAGCAGCTGCAGCCTTGGGGTGCCTCTGAATACAAATGGAGGAGGAAGGGGTGGGGTTGGGGGGTGGGTGAGAGTTTCCCCCCTACTTTTTGAACTTAACCCCCACCCCTCACACCAAGTCAACGCTTCCAAGGCTCAGCCTCCGGCCCTCTCAGGAGGCTTCCCGGGCTGGTCAGGATGAATGCCGTGGGAACCGGCAGGCTGGCCATCCTGACCCCACCTGGGAGCGACTCGCGTTCCCGCCGCCGGCGGCCAAACGGGAGCAGCGGGCGTGCTCTCACGTGTGTGTGTGTGTGTGTGTGTGTCGGGGGGAGAACCCCACGGGGCGCGCGAAGTGAAGGTGCACACGAGCGAGCGAAGCACCTGGTTGCTATAGCAAGGAGCACTTCCGGCGTTCGCCGTTGCTATGGCCACCGCCATTTTTTCCCCTCTCTCGCCCTCTTCTCGGGCGGCAGTGACGTCAGCGGGTACAAAGAGGAAGGGGCGCGACTTCCGGCGACGCTCTTTCTTTTCCTCTCTCTCGCTGCCTCTCGCCCTTCCCTTCGCCGGGGTGGAGTTGGGGCGGGCCTTGTCCGCTTACGGTGGCCGGGCGGGGCCAAGCGGCGCCCGACGCGAACGGAGGTGACGCTGTGCCGGTCCCGGCCGTCCCGGGCTTGGCTTGGCTTGGCTTGGGAAGGGAGGA